GGAGCAGCTAGCCAGGCATCTCCATGTAGGGGGATGCAGGTATGAAATGAAATCTGCTCCTTTCCTTGAATTAGTTCTCTCCAGGCTCAGACTCAGTCACAACCCTCTTCACAGCCCTGCATTTCACATCTGTTTCATGGGGCACCCCATGAAAACCACACTTCCTTGGGTCTCAGGATAGCTTATGTCCACCTTTCCCTAGTCAAGGTATTCCGTTTACCTCAGTATAATGCTCAATGCTGGCTATTGGGGAGCACCCCAGCAACACTCCTGGTGCCTAGGTTTAGAGGAAAGTTGCAATCTAACAAGAACATTTTCAGAGCTCATGTGAGAGTCACAAAATGCTGAAACCCATTGGGAGGAGATAAGGACTCAGATGAGCCCTCTAAGGATCAACCATCCCCAAACTGGGAGAAATGATGTAGTGTGCGCTGGCTGCTTGCCCCATCTCCCCTGCTGATGCCCACTGCTGTCCTGGGGTGCAGGCTGTGGTGACAGGACACTGTGCAGGGTATTGTGTGATGGGGGTGGGGTCTGCATGCTTCATCCCCTGTAAGCCTTTGCAAAAATATCTCCTTTCAGTTTAGCATGCTCTGTGATATCGCCCATTCTCTGCTGTGGCATCAGTAAAACCATTGACAATTCTGTGAACCAGACCCATCTCTGTCCTGCATAGCTCCAGACTTCCAAAGGGTCATGGCTATTCCTAGTGAGTGCTGGGGAATGGTGTCCTGTTAATGGCTCCACATGGTCATACTTCTGTGTGTCCTCATCCATTTAACTTTTTCCACATCCCTCATGCCAGGACAGGTCATTTTGACGTCTGTAGCTGTGGAGGAGATACTGACGGGACCTGCTTCTCATCTCTCTGAGGTGTGTGGCTGGGCCATTGTGCCTGGAGGTGGGGGTTAGGGTTTAGGGGAGTCTTCATTCTGCATACCTCTCTCACTCATGGAACATATTCTTTGCAGCTCCCAGAGAGGGACGGGCCCTGGGCTGGGAGAGGAGGAGCCCAGGAGCTGAGGGAAGAGCCTAGTCCTGGGCCTGGACCTGATTCCAAACAGAAGCAGTACTCCAGGGGGCCC